TTCTGGAATGTGCTCCAGGCCAGCTCTCAGCAGGACTGACCATCCCCAGGGAGGGGCGGAAGTGCCCAGGAGAAGACCCAGGCCTCTGACCCTGTGCTGGCTCCTGCTAGGAGGGGCTGCGTGCTCTGTGCGCTCCAGGGAGCACCCAGACCCCTGCTCTGAAGGATGTGGATGGTGGGAAGGACATGGGAGAGGTGGGTGGCTGCCTGATTCACTAAGTGGGAGGAGGAAGGAAACCATTTATTTAAAAACAGTCTGATTTTGCTCAAGGCTGCATTTTCTCAGCAGGTTTAAGCCCGTGGTTAGGACCACAGCAGACGCATCCCGGTTATGAGACTCACAGCAGAGGCGGTGGCTGGAAAGGCTTCCCGCGGCCCCTCACTGGGCTCCAGGCCCCAGCGCCCTGCGCGCTGCTCCCCAGCGCTGTCTGCCTCCCCCAGAGGACGATCACCCTTCCAGCCACACGAATAATCCCTCACGTCCTGCAGCAGGAGAGGCACGGGGGACCATGCAATGGCCTCTCTCTCTTGGAAAAGATGTAAGCATCCTTCCCAGTGTGCTTAGCTGCTGGAGTGCCGTCACAACCCGAGGTGGCTTCTCAGGCCACCTCCCGGACCCGCTCACAAAGCACCAAGAGCAAGCCTCACGGGCATGCCTGCTCCCAGCGGAGGGCCTGGCTGATCAGGAGAAGGCAAAGGCTTTCTCCTTCCCATTGACGTAATGCCCCTCCTCCCGAGCCCTCGCAGGAAGCCAAACATTGAGTATAGCAAAGGAGAGCAAGGGAACAGAGAACAACACTCCGTGCTTGCTCAGACACTGTTCAAACACAAGCCTCCTCCCAGCAAAGATGGCTCTGCGTACAAAACCAGCACACACCTGCTGAGGCGGTGAGCGAGGAGGGGCAATGGAGTGGGCAGGAAGAAGGGAGTAAGCAAACCAGATCCCGCACAGCCAGGAAAGCAACACACACCACGATGCGACGTGCTGCAGCTCTCACACACAGAGCTCATATGCCTGTGTCGTGGAACCTGCTTCTCTGACTGAGCTCCGGGAGTAGCCAGTGGCCATCAGTTCCCAGGGACTTTTGTCCCTAAAGTTCTTAGAACTAATGAAAGTGTCAGCACCTGCCAGGCTAGCCGCATGATTCCCAGTCCCTCTGCCGGGAGAAAGCCACAGCGTTGGTGTGTGGCTCCCACTTGGTAGCCATTCTGGCATTTCCCACTTGTGGCCTGAGGGCCACTCAGGACACATGCCCAAGACTGGTATCGCTGTCATAGGCATTCTGTTTTTTATTTTATTTTATTTTTTGTCGGTCATGGGGCTTGAACTCAAGGCTTGGGTGCTGTCCCTGTGCTCTTCAGCTCAAGGCGAGCACTCTACCGCTTGAGCCACAGCGCCACTTCCAGTTTTCTAGTGGTTTATTGGAGATAAGAGTCTCGCGGACTTTTCTGCCCAGGCTGGCTTTGAACTGCAATCCTCAGGTCTCCCTGAGTGGCTAGGATGACAGGCGTGAGCCACCAGCTCATGCTGTATGGAAGCACAGAGGACATGGAGTGGCCAAAGCAATCACGTAAAACACAAATAAAAAGGTTGGTGGTATCACAATAGCAGATTTCAAATTATACTACAAAGTCATAATAACAAAAACACCATGGTTTTAGCACAAAACTAGACCCAAAGGCTGGTGGAACAGATTTTACAAGACCAGAAGTCCATCTCCCCTCCCCCCCTCCCTGCCACCCGCAAAGCTGGGATTACAGGCTGCGCTCAAACCTAAACACGAGTTAAATGTGCTTGTCCAGACCATTTCAGGGCCACAGGCAGCTGACCAGTCGTTAGAAATGCACAGTCTTTCTCTTACGAGGCAGTCAGCTGAGTTCCTGGCACTCTGGACCGTAATTATGATGTCACCGTGTTAGTGCCTCTGTCTTTGGAACCCTCTAAATGTGAAGAGTACTGGGCCATTCTGGAATATAGAGGAGGAGGAATCAACGGGTGGAGAAGAAAGCCGGGCGTGTTTCGTCCCCATGGCTGGTGGCCTGTGCCACCAGATCGCAGCCGCTGCGTCGGCCCTGGTGTGGGAAGGTGGCAGGCCCTTGAACAGAGGCGTTCTGGCTTCCAGACTTGTAACTTGTCCCGCGTCTTGGCTGGCAAGTCACCGCCAGAACAAGAATGGAGTCAGCCCCCAGCTGTTCTGAGGGAGGACAGCGTGTTAAATCCGAACCATTAAAGACTTGCAAAGGCAAAGGAACAGGTGGCGAATGGTCTCCATGGCAGATGGCGCTTTTTAATACTGGTATTTGATAGTAATTCTCAGAACGAGACACCATAAGCACTCACTCACTTTTCACCTTCCTGACTTCACTGCTGAAGAGATGCAAGGCGTAGATCCCACACTCCTCCACCCCGTCGGGGTGACCCTGGAGTTCTGCCATCTCTCTGGCTTCCTCCACCTTACCCTTCCTGGCACAGCATCTGAGCAGAACACCGTCCATCAGCTGCATCCCAGGGGGCCCCGGAGCCCACGGTTGCTCTTGTCCACAAATCCTCCCACTTGGCTTTTCCTGATGAGCATCCTGTACCCCAGTGCTGCTTTACCGCCTGCCGCCCAACAGTGATGGGCAAGGCCTTCCTCCTCAGCACTTCATCCAGCCGTCCCATCCCCACAGCCCACCCATGTCTAACCATGAGCCTGCCCCCCACCCTCTTCATCTGGGTCCAGGTGTGGACAGGAAAGAGACAGCATTAAAGACTATGCAAATGAACAGAGGGCCCTGACCTGTCCCTCGGTGAGGACAGTGGTTCTGTGTGAGGGGTGTGAAGCGTGTGGAGGACCCGTGTTTCATGCAGGTGGAGCAGGAGAGAAAGACCTGGCCCTGCAGATGATGGGGGGGGGGTCCTGCTCAGAAGAGGATGGGAGTGTGGACAGGCTGTCCTGAACTCGGGGCTGCCAGCACCCAGCCTGTGGAAAGCAGCAGGCTTCGGCCGCGTGCACTGTGGAAGGAGACAGCTCCCATGGCCTCCTGGGAGCAAGGCCCTCCGTGGACTGGCAGCAATTCCTAGAACCCTGGCCTATCTCAGCCTCCCGAGGAGCTAGGATCTCTGATCTGAGTCACTGTGCTCTGCTCCCTTTTGAAGGAGAGGGAGGATGGATGGCCCCTGCCAGGCTGCTCAGTAGGCGCAGGACAACGAGCAGCTCCCTAGAAAACGCCAGGGTTGCCTGCACAAGACCCCATCCCAACCAGTTAAAAACCGGACACAATGCCTTGTGCCTGTCATTCCAGTGTATGGAAATCACAAATAGGAGGATCGCACACCTCCTACGCCTCTACAGCAGATTCCAGGACCCCAGGACCAGAGGGCAACACCTCCCAAAGGAGATCAGACGCCGGCACCGGCCACACACACCGGCAGCAGCTGGACTGAGCCCAGCTCGGGCTGTCTTGGTCCTGACTCAATTCTGTCTGTGTTTCTGCTCCGCCTCGCCCTCCTCTCCACAGCGGGGCTGGCAGCTGCGATGGCCAGCACCAGCAGCTGTGAGACCGACAGCAACAACTTCCGTCTTCTCCCAAACGCTCAAAGTCACCACAGGAGAAGACGCCAAGTCTTGCATCATTTCTCAAATCACATGGCACACGTACGGCAGAGGGCCCTGCGGTGCACAGAGCCTGGGTCTGAGGTGAATTTTCTGGGGACACCCTGGTGTTACCCTCCTAAAGTAAGAGGGTAGGCAGGTTTTCAGCCAAGCCTGAAGGAGGGCACCCCCCCAGACCACAGTGTATTCACATTCTTCCCCATCATACCAACATGCCAAGAAGGAAATAAGATTGTGTTGTGGAGAATACAATATCCTGTTGATTGACCAATGCATCAAGCCAGTACAAAAGTGCCAATTCCAAAGGCTTGGAGTGGAACACAACTGCACTAGGTTTGCCAGAATCCAGGTCAACACACAGAACACACACAGGGACTCGGAAGTGGCAAGCACGGGTTGTTTATCCTTCTATCATAATGTGTGTGTGTGTGAGAGAGAGAGAGAGAGAGAGAGAAAGGCAGAGAGAGAGAGAGAGAGTGCAAGGGGAAGAGGGAGGGAGGGAGGGGGGAGGAAGAGAGCACGTTTACCCACCATGCTCAGGATCATAGGTGTTTGGATTTCAGATATTCTCAGATTTTGAGGGTCTTGGGGTAGGGTACCTGGATCTTACATGAAGTTCGTTGGTTTCACAGATGCATTGCTCACATAGGCTGATGACAATTTTACATAATATTTGTAATAACTTTGGGTAGGAAGCAAAGTGAAAGGTGTGGGATTTACTTGTTACCTCAAGGTAGAGCTGGGAAAGTCTGGGGTTTGGGAGCTTGGCGTGGACAAATTGTCTTCCACGGGATTTCTACGAACGTGTTACTCTATCACGTGAACAGCTCCAGCCAAAATAGCAGCAGCCCTCACGGGAGTGGAGGATACTCCACAACCTTCCAGACTCATGTTGCCATTATGGATATAGCTGGATAGAGCACCAGCATCAAAGAGACACGCAGGACACGAGGCGCGGCTCCGGCCACAGGCAGACACGACCAGCAGTGAGACCCCCTCTGCTTCCCCCTGACCCCCACCCACCGACTTCTGCTCCTCCCGGAAGGCCCAGCTCCTCCTGGTCCAAGCCCGGCACAGCTCCCATTGCTGCCTGGGATGGGCACAACACACCGTGTGCTCAGCACGGCTGTCCTAGGACAGGGAGCTGGGGTCGGGCGGGGCTCACATCTCTGGAGGGCCCTCTCGTCTCCCACACGCTCTGCATGAGAGAATGACCAAGCTCCCAGCATCAAGCCAGGGGCCATGGCTCAGGTGGCCTTGGGAATTGCAAGCAACCCCCTTTCCGGGAGCAGGGTACAGCCATCCCAGTGCCAGGACCAGGTGGCAGGGACCAGGAGCCAAGGCCCGAGGCCACTTGCCCGCCTCGCTCGCCAACTGCAGATTCTGGACACAGCACGCGGCCTACCTGAGAAGGGGGCTGTCCGGAGGGGTATTTTGATGGGCGCCAAGGTCAGGAAATGGCATGGCTGCACGCAGGAAGGGGACAGGTCCCGGAGTCCCTCGGGGTCCACAGTGACCATGGCAGTGGCGGCGGCGGCTGCAGCGATGGCAATGGTGGGACTGTGGTTGATCGGCTTAAAGCTCTTAGGACAGGCACCTGTGGGAGAGGAGCACAAGGTCAGCGTGGACAGCAGTGTGCACATGACAGAGGTCAGCATGGACAGCAGTGTGCACATGACAGAGGTCAGCGTGGACGGCAGTGTGCACATGACAGAGGTCAGCGCGGACAGCAGTGTGCACATGACAGAGGTCAGCATGGACAGCAGTGTGCACATGACAGAGGTCAGCGTGGACAGCAGTGTGCATGTATGACAGAGGTCAGCATGGACGGCAGTGTGCACATGACAGAGGTCAGCGTGGACGGCAGTGTGCATATATGACAGAGGTCAGCATGGACGGCAGTGTGCACATGACAGAGGTCAGCGTGGACAGCAGTGTGCATGTATGACAGAGGTCAGCATGGACGGCAGTGTGCACATGACAGAGGTCAGCATGGACAGCAGTGTGCACATGACAGAGGTCAGCGTGGACGGCAGTGTGCATATATGACAGAGGTCAGCATGGACGGCAGTGTACACATGACAGAGGTCAGCGTGGACGGCAGTGTGCACATGATAGAGGTCAGCGCGGACGGTGGTGTGCACATGACAGAGGTCAGCGTGGACAGCAGTGTGCACATGACAGAGGTCAGCTTGGACAACAGTGTGCACATGACAGAGGTCAGCATGGACAGCAGTGTGCACATGACAGAGGTCAGCATGGACGGCAGTGTGCACATGACAGAGGTCAGCGTGGACAGCAGTGTGCATGTATGACAGAGGTCAGCGTGGACAACAGTGTGCACATGGCAGAGGTCAGCGTGGACAGCAGTGTGCACATGACAGAGGTCAGCGTGGATGGCAGTGTGCACATGACAGAGGTCAGCACGGACAGCAGTGTGCACATGACAGAGTTCAGCGTGGGCGGCAGTGTGCATGTATGACAGAGGTCAGCGTGGACAGCGGTGTGCACATGACAGAGGTCAGCACGGATGGCAGTGTGCACATGGCAGAGGTCAGCGTGGACAGTGGTGTGCACATGACGGAGGTCAGTGTGGACAGCGGTGTGCACATGACAGAGGTCAGCGTGGACAGTGGTGTGCATGCACACCCTGTCATGGCTCCTCCCCCTGTGTCATGGCTCCTCCCCCTATGGTATGGCTCCTCCCTTCATCATGGCTCTTCCCCCTGTGTCACTGCCCCTCCCCACATCATGGCCCCTCCCAGTGTCATGGCTCCTCCCCGGCATCATGGCTCCTCCCCCTGCATCATGGCTCCTCCCCTGCATCATGACTCCTCCCCCTGGGCGGGTCTATCCCAAGGGAGGGACAAGCTCTAGCCATTTGGTTTGCTCGCACTGTAACTGTCTGCTCTGATTCCTGGCAGTTCTGCTAGCCCCGGCTCTGCTGCCTCCCTGCCTCACCTTCCTGAGCACAGCATGGACTCACTGACACCCTAAGAATTCATCTAGACCAGCCGTGACTGCCGTTTAACATGAAGGTGACCTGTGATAGGCACCAAGTGATAGGAAAGGTAACTCAGAGTATCTTAAGAAAAACACAACAAGGAAGGTGAACGTCTTGTAGATCAAAGTGTGAAAATATTTTTATCACCATGTGAATTTTGTTGCCCAAACCATCTGTCAACTAAAATGAAAAATAAAGACGCCTTGTTTTAGTCTGCCTTAAAAATGACTTGGAAAGGTCATTTCTAACCTGCCTATAAAATCACAACGCTCTCCCACCAGGAGAATAAATAGCCCAACGAATGCATGAACACATGAATAGTTTTCAAAAGAAAAAATACAAATGGCTAAGAAATATATGAAGAAATGTTCACCACCCTTAGCAATAATGGAAATGCAAATCCAAGCCACAGAAAGACTGCTCACTTCAGCCAGAGCAGCGGTCCCCAAGGAAACCACGCAGAGGAGTCACGTTTGGGATGGGGCTGAGCACTGGAGGCCAGCGGTCAAGGGACATTATATGCTATAGGCGGAGGTCAAAGAAATCCTCCAGTGTAGCTAACTGATGCTAATAAAAAACAAACACAAAGAAAACAATCATTGCTGGCAAGGGCTTGGAAAAAGGGACAGGAAGTGTATACAGGGTTGGTGGAGTGTCAATAGTGCAGCCATTATAGAATCAGCACAAAAGTTCCGTACAAGCCTAAACACAGAGCCACCTCCAGTCCTGCCCTGCCACTCGCGTCCATACGTCCCCAGGACTGTAAGGCAGCATGCAGCAGAGAGACCCACACGCCCACACTGCGCCACTGTAGGCCATGGGTCCAGAGGTGCCCGTCCACTTCTCAATGGGTAAAGAAAATGTGGTGTATGCACACCTGTGGGGTATCATTCAACCACAAAGAAGGAAGTGATGCTCTATAGGAAAATGGACAGAACATGCACCATCATGTTAAGTGACGAATGCCACAAAAAGACAAATGTCATGTTCTCTCTGGTAAGTGAAACAAAGCGCTAAGGAATGTGAGAGGCTCTCCACGAGGGTGGACGCACCTGCAGGAGAGAAGAGAAGAAGGAAAGGGATGTGTGGATAGGGGCGGAATTGACGCAGGCATGAAAATAGAGCAAAACTGCTGGAATTGCTGGACACAGCAAAGGGTGGGCGGCGAGGTCGAGGAGAGGGGTGTTGCTGAGAACACTGTGTGCATGTACAGAAACCCCTCAGCTCTGGAGCTGAGAGAGCGCCGCGGCCGTGAGCAGACAGCGTCCTGGGGTACATGCTGCGCTGCCCTTCTGCCAGGAAGTCAGAGGCCCCGTGCCAGCCCAGGGCCCAGCTGCCCCGCTGAGATCATCCTCCAAAGCCCCAAAGCCAAGTTTGGAAGGCGAGCCAGCACTCAACAAATTGTGTCCACTGATAAATAATGATAGTAACTCGCTTTCCTCCAAGGACTTCAGAAAATCCCTTAGTTGAGTAAATAAACAGCTCGATAAGATAGGTCCAACCAAAAAAAAGCAGAAATCCTGCTAAGCCAGCTACACGATAAGCCAGAGAAGGACCCGGGAGGTTTGCTCCCAGAATCAAGGTTTTAAGCAAAACAGTCAGGAAGCCTGTGTTTTCCTGAAGGGGCCAGGGCAGGGTGGGGGCGGGGCTCACAGAGCCACGGGAGGGGGAGGGTGGGGGGGTGGGGGGGAGGGGGGTGCCCCTGCTGCCCTGGGAGACTCCCCCTCCCCCTCTCCTCCCAAACAAAGCGGTCATGTGGGCATGTCCTAGTCCAAGTGAGACCTCCGACGGCCATGGAGGAGACCTGGCTGCACCCACGGCAGAGGAGCAAGGCGCGGTGCGCCCAGGACCCTCCCACGCGGCCATCATGGCTACAGGACTGCCCACATGGCACTTCCCCGGAAGGACGAGCGGAGAATCCTGAGTGTCCAGACTCCACCCCGACCCAGGCCATGCGTCCACTCATTAAGAAGTCCACCAGGCTCTTCGTGGCCTGCCCTTGTGGGAGGCGCACTGGCCACGGGCCCTGCCAGTCCTGGGCCCACTGAGCAGCATGGACTCGCTTTCCCGGGACCGGACAGACAGGAGGGGAGCAGAGGGTTGCGTGTCTGCAGGCGGGTGCTGTGGGGCAGGCCGGGGTCTCAGAGGCTGCCGCCAGGCTCTCAGGGTCACGATGAGAACAAGCCGCCGCAGCGTGGACCTTCCGTCCCAGGCACGCTCTGGGCCTGGCAGGGCCTCGGCCAGGAAAGCCAGGGTCAGGAGGGAAACTGGTGGTGGACAGCCAGACCCTCACCCCAGCCCAGGCCTCCGCCCCTCTGCAGGAGGAGCAGAGTGTCCCAGGCTCTACGGGCCAGGCCTGGAGGCCCCGTCAGAATGATCGCCACCAGCTGCTGCTGAGAAGGGAGGTGCCACCGCTGCCCGGGAGGGTGGCCTCGTGGGCCCGCGTTAGCGGCATCGGCTCCGAGTGCGGCGTGCCAGGCGAACCTCACCGTGGCCGGTGCCAGTCCTCTTTCCCTGAGGACTGGGGAGCGTCAGCCGCCACGCTCTCTGTGCTGAGCCACACAGCAGAGAAGTAAACAACCAGTCCTCCGCCATGTCTGCTTAGCAAATGGCTTCAGCTCTGATGAAAATCCTGCAGGTGCGATTTCTCGCGACTGGTAATTATGTCTGCCAAGAATGACTGCTCAGGGCTGAGGCACGGGGCACACAGAACCCATGCAGGGCCGCTTCCTCCCGCTGGGCAGGCGCCCTGTGCCCTGGGTGTGGACGCCGGCCGAGGGAGGCCCCCAGGCCCGAGCCTCACTCCTTCCCTTCCCAGCCAAGGCTGCCCCATCTGTGGACCTGAAGCCAGGGCACCTGCGGCCTGGTGGCCCCATGCGGCAGCCGTGTTGGCTTCCTCTTGCTGCTCATTGTTCTGGCTGTTTCTGGAGAGAGCTGCCCGGTCCCTGGTACTGGTGCAATTCTGCATTAATGTGCCAAGGAGGTCAACCTGGGCTGGGCTGGATGGCGGGCCCAGCCCCACGCCGCCCCACCAGGTCCTCACCACACCGCCATCCCTTCACCATGCTGAGCGGATCTGCCTGCCCTTCCAGAGCCTGGCCCAGAGTTCCACATTCATGCAACCCCATGGCCGGCCGTTGGGAGGAGGACCCTTGGCAAACCCTCCTCTCCCGGGCTTGGGTGGAGGCTGAACTCTCAGCCAGCCTGCCAGCAGGAGGCACAGGCGCGGCCAGCACGACCCAGCTCTCCAAGATGGGGTCCGGGTCCCCTTCAGACTACAGCAGGCTCAGCAACCTTGCCTCGGTTTCCCTAGATAGGAAGTGGATAGTGCTCTTTAGAGATCCACACGGCGACCCCATGATGGGCCTGCACCACACCTCTGCCTCTTCCTCTGAGCCGCTCGGGGCCTCCATGGCCTCGAGCTCAGGATTCCCCCCTCCCCGCCCCCGGCACCGCATTGGGGCCTCCACGGCCTGGGTCTCAGGGTCCCCCCCCACTGCTCCGGGGCCTCCACGGCCTGGGTCTCAGGGTCCCCCCTCCACTGCTCCGGGGCCTCCACGGCCTGGGTCTCAGGGTCCCCCCCACCGCGGGGC